CCCCCCCCCCCCCCCCCCCCGTATCGATCCGTCAATGGGTCAAATGACTACAAAAATAATGGCAAATGACGCCACAAACTACTCAACCATCATTATCTCCCCTACCACAGAAATAATAGAGACACTTCTTTTAGACAAATATTCAAGAATTTCCATTTCCATCAATCAAATTTCTCTTTTTCTATAGAACCAAGTATAAGTTTAAACAGGAGTGCGATTCTTCTATTTATTATTTATTATCCTCATTTATTGTATTTCATATCTTCTGGGGGTATTATTTGCATTTCAATCAGCGTGCTATATTAGGAGTACTACTGTTATCTTGAGTGTACATTCATACATGTTGCACGCTTGTTTGGATAAAACCTAGGGTATAATCTATCGTACTTTATTATATACGTATTCATACATTGACATGTTCTTCGTTTCAGAACTCTTACTACTATCAGTTTGATGAAAGGGGGCAAAGAATTGCCCCTGGTTACCCTAGGTCTATTGGCTCATACTGGAGAGGAATACCCAGCAATGTGGAGGCGGCTGTGCTGTCCGTACGAGACAGATATACCTATTTCTTTAAAGGGAAAAAGTAAGTTAAGTTTAGTTACATCATTTCTCGAAAAATAGTACTTGTACAGATATTTTCTGCTTACCCCATGCCTATTGTCATTTGCACCTTATTTATTCATTGAAAGGACTGTCATCCAACGCGTTATCAAGATTGCTTTCTTTTTTTATTTCAAAAACCTATAAACATCGGAAGAACGTCCAAAGCGTACATATGCATGCCTTTTTAACTTACTGAGACCCACGAATGGTCTATAAGGTGATAACTCTATTATTTGTCTCTTGCAGTTACTTCAAATATGACAACTACAGGAGAGCGGTCGTGCGGGGTTATCCCAGGAGTAAAGCTTCTTCCTGGATGGGCTGCGGTAGAAGCACTCCAAAATAATCCACACCACACGTTACCAAGCCGGATTTTTTTCTTATCTGGAAAAAGTGACTTAAATTTGTAAATAGGTTTTGCTCAGATATATTTATAACAACGAATGGTGTATGCCTGTGTTGAGCGCAGGTCCTTTTCATTGATGTGTTTGAGGATATTTTGCTATGAAAAAAAAAACACTCTTGCTAAGGCCAGTATGTTTCTTTAAAAGAAAATGTGTCAGAGAAAATCTGAAAACAAAGTAAAGTTGATAATTAAGCATGTTATGTTACTGTAGTAAAGCTTGGGCTCGTGAATTATGGGTCTAAGAGCACAGGGACAACCCATGGTCTTTCTTGTCTTCAATATACCTTATTTTGTTTTAGACACCATTTTTTAAATTGGTATGGTATAGTTATTAGGAATTGAGGATTTGACACATTGGTGGTTGGTTAACACTGTTTAGGACACTAGTCATTTTGTCAATTATTTTTTTTCTGCGCTTAGATCCCGTATCCTGTTCCTTAAAACGGAACTTCAACATTATTTTAAGTATTAGTAACGTGGACCGAGACCATGTGTTTTTTTTTTATAAAACTAAGCATCTCACGGACAATTGCGAGTGTCATTAATACTATAAAAGTGATGGCGAATGTACACCTCCTATAATGTGTTTTATAAAAGTAAGTGTGACTCGACCATGACGGGGGTGATTATCAACAGCGATTTCTGCATTGAAAAGAGTGTAAAACATACCCCTTTTCATTTTACCAAGTATCGCAAACATTCTAAATATGTATTACACACTGCAACTTACAACTGAAAACATATTATACATTGTTATATTGATATTTGAAAAGTTTGTAGACAAAATACATGTAAAAATATCTGTTGGAACTGTTGTTGTTGTTGTTGTTGTCTCAGTTGTTCTGCGTTGCATTTTGCAAAAATTGCACAGAACTCCTGATCCTTTGCATCACTACAAATACTTTTTTATTTGAACATACACATTTTTATTAGAACTTGTACACAGTTAAATCTTTATAAACGGATTGACATAATACCTTCGTTTATCATTTGGTATAAAAAATTTTCCTAACAGACTGCATAATTTCTGCGTTCTTTCAGATCAATCTTGATAAACATTTTCTGAAGTTGGCGCACATTTGCTTTAAAAGTTGAAAATACCAAATTAGGCACACGTTGATGCTATAGAAACCAGCTGACGTGTGGAGCATTGCGTTATTCTGTTTTGCCATAGAGACCAACTGATGTCGGAAACACTACGTTTGTTTTTACAGCTAGGATTATCTGTGTTCAAGGCCGAAAGTCTGGACGCCATTAACACAACGCGGAAGGTTACTGACCTCAAAAAACATGGACTGTCAAAGTGTTGGAAAACTACGTTAAGAGCTTTCTTTCCTGATAATGGAGTTCTTTTTTTCTTCATCTTTTATGTCAATATTACACTTGTGCAATGTTGAATCATGGTTTTTCCAAATCCCTTCCTCTCCTTCCGAAATGGAAATGAGAATTTTCAAAAATCAGTGAACTGGTTAACTTAAACAAGCGAATTCTAATGACTTCCTGATGTTAGTTAATCGAACATTACTCTGTTTTGTTCAATGCCAAGGCTTTTTATCAAACTCTTTGTGACACTTGTAAGAAAATTAGGTTCATAGTTATTTTTATCTAGTTTTAAAAGTAAAATAAACGTTAAAATGCAAACCTAATGTAGCATATTTATTTTATATTCGTCGAGTTTAGTAGATTTAGAGTACACACACACACACACACACACAAACACACACACACACATATGTATATATACAAATAAAAGGGGAAAAGAAGAAAATAAGTCAGCCTTACAGTCGCAAACAAATAAAGTAAACCTAAATATAAGTAAGCCTTTGTTGCTTCCTCTCTCTCTCTCTTTCTCTCTCTCTCACACACACATCTAGCCAGTAGGGGCCTACATCTCTGATGTCTGACACCTATTAGCGTGCAATTTACCTTTATGATTGAATTTCCCTTCATGCTTCCTTGTTCCAATCTACGGCATTAGTTTCTCATTAAAGCTCCCCGAAAATCAGGAATGAATAAATTAAATTTGATTTATGATGAATAGGAAATTCTTAACGAAATTAACTTGATTTATTTTGATTTATAAGTGACAATCAACACCCACGCTTTGACTTTCGAACATTTCTACGTAAAGACTGGTAAACTTTGGTAATATCTTCACAAGTTAATTTTTAAAAAAGTATGTTATATTTTGTGCTTGTTTTATCATTTCCAGAAATGCTAATTTTGTTATATAGAGTGTAGGCAATAAGTTTTTCAAAAAAAGATGACATTCCGTGCTAATTATATCCACACACTTACAGTTCTTAGGTTTCAGCTCGAAAAAGTTGAAGGCCCAAATTGGGAGGAGGGTGTTGAGACTTGGAACATGCTACCCCAGTCTGTCCAAAAGGATTGTTCAAGGTATATGTATCCTGGGGAAATATTTCATATTTTCTATCATTTGCCTCCTTCTCGTACCCCCCCCCCCCAAAAAAAAAAAAAAAAAAAAAAAATCCTGGACCTACCTATTTGAATTCCGTACCGTGAACGTCTGTACTAGCAAGATAGCAAATATACAGCACAATTTGTTAAACTAAAGCTTATACACAAGGTCATGGATCTGAATTTTGGTGTAAATTAAGAGAGACAAATGAAAAAAAATTGAAAATGTCAATAACACGGACATCAATTTGTCTGTGCTTGTGTGAAGTATTGGCAGATTGGTGCTCTCTCCCTTCCCTCATCTCTCCATCTCTCTCTCTTTGGTAACATAGTATGCTATCGTGAAATGAAATGCATTCAATCAGGGTGACTGTTATTTTGGCTTTTCTGATTGTCATGTTTCCTCAATTCAGACACGTTTTCTTTTATGGACAGCAAGTGTTGTGTTGCAAACCACAGCCGACTAAAATTAGAATAATTACTACATACTATTCTTTATAAAAACATAGGTATTCTAGAATTTGAAGTATCCGGCATGCTGAGCCAAGTCGCCGTAAAAGACACAAATATTTGATTTTCAATAATATGCTTCAGCTGAAAAACTTTATTTTTAACCAGGTAGAACGTAACGCTAAAACATGCGTCATCCTGACCCCCACAGACGTCCATACCGCGGCTTTTTCATTGGTTAAAATCATCGTACTGTTGACTCAGATAACAAAAGTTGGCGTTATTTTCAGGCTCCTGGTTCATATAAGAGGACCAAAACAGAGACAGTTGAGCAGTCTTGATTGCACGTTCGAAGCAAGGAGAAAAATGAGGGGGGTTGCGCTAACGTTGTCCTGCTTTACCTTCACTGTTCTATTTGTAGCAATACAAGGACAGAGCTTACTGGATAAGATGCGTACTCGAAATATGATGCGACAAGTGAATATGAATGATGATGACATGGTAAGTCCGGACCTTCCATAGAATGGCAACTGAATTTGAAATTAAGAACAACTTTTTCATTTTAGATGCTACTTAGATTATAAAAGTGATTTAAATCACGGATGTTTTGAGCCAAACCGAGCATCAAGAAAACGGCCTTATTTATATTATATTTTACCAGCTTGTTTGAAAAAAGCAGTTGCGTATTGCCGTAAGTCTTTAATTGTATACTTTTTTTCTTTTTAAAGTCATATCTCGATCAGTTTGGGTATATGTCAGGAGAAGGAGAAATGAGCACTGAAAAAATGCGGACAGCAATCGAGTAAGTAAATTACATAATACCGGGTTCAATAATTATATTTCAAAAATGTAAATGCAAATTGATCAATGTCGTATTTTATGCTTAAATTTTGACGTCCATAAAAATATACACCCAGTTAGACACTGGGATTTAATTCATATATCAAAACGTTATATCTAAAACCTGAAGTAGTCCGGTGGCTTAAGGAAAAAATCATGACACGGCGGATAAAAGCACCGAATTTGACATGTAGTTACCTTTTGACATTCTAAATCAAATTAGAGCCGTAGCCCTCTCAAACAATTTACCGTTTGGTCAAAAAATCCAAAATGGCCGCCAATTTATGGGATTCTATAGAAATATGTTCATACCTATGTTGATTTTTTATCAAATAAATTATTTTCTCAGAGTTTTCCACACCCTTATTACCCATTTTATTCATATATGTCAGATAGCAAACAATTTCCCTTTGACTTTTGAAAAAATCCAAGATGGCTGTCATATGCTATAGAAACAGCCATAGGAATACTAGTGCACAACTATTACCAGCTAGAAAGGTACGTTGACCACTATCAAATTAAGTCTGTTTCTCAGATTTTGGTTACCCACATAATATGTTTGTGGTGAGTAACTAAGAAGTGTTCTTGGGCAGTTTGGAAATTCCAAGATGGCTGCCATGTGCCACAGGAATTCTAGTATGCGGGGTTTTCAACTAATGACAACTGGAAAGATTAATTTTCCACTACCAAATTTAGTTTGTTTCTGAGTGTTTTCCACATCCTTTCCACCAACACAGTATGTATGTGGTGAGTAACTAACATGTATTCTTGGGTATTTTGAGAAAATCCAAGATGGCCGCCATATGTCATAGGAATACTTCTAGTATTACAAAGGGTTGGAAGTAATGCCAGCTAGGAAAAACATAATTCACTATCAAATTCAGTTTATTTTTTCAGTGTTTTACACATTATTATTACACTGTGATACATATCTAGCAGGTAATAAATGTGCATATTTGATCATTTTGAGAAAATCCAAGATGGCCGCCATTGGCCATAGGAATACTACTGGAATTACAACTGCACATCCATGGCTTTTCATCTACTACCAGGGTGAAATTGTGTTTTCTTATCAAGTTTTGCCCATCCGTATTAGTCTCGTAGGTAAATAGTGTGCATCTTTGGATATTCTGAGAAAATCCAAGAAAGCTACAATTTGGTATAGGAATACTAATGGGTGGATTTCAATTGCTGCTAGAGAGGCACATGGTTCATTATACAATTACATTACCATTGGTTTGTTTTGAAAATAATTTATGTTTTTCATTCCATTTATTATTACCCCTATGATGTATACCTGGTCTGTAGCATGTGTGTATCTTTGGGTATTCTGAAAAAAATTCAAGATGTCTGCCTTTTGTCATTAGAATATTCATGCACAAAATCAAATAATGCCAGAGACACACTGAGTACAATTTAAATGTAGTTAACTTTAGATCGTTTTAAAATGTTTTTCATATCTATCCTTATGAAAGACTCTGTGTGTGTACAAAGTTTATGTATCCTTCAGTACTATTCGGAGAAAATCCAAGATAGCTGCCAGTTGTCATAGGAATATATCATTCAAATGCACATAGGTGTCAATTAATGGAGCAGTTCAGACATTGAATCCAACATGAAATAAAGCTGTTTGATATTCAGACATGTTCGCATCCTTATTAACCTTACTCTATATAAATATTATGAGTAGCAAGTATGCATCTTGCATATTTGAGAAAATTCAAGATTGCTGCAATTCACAATAGGAGTAGCCCAGTCAACTACTGCCAGAGAGACACTGGGTTCAATATAAAATGAATTTTGTTTCTCGGTATTTCTTACATTCTTTTTGGACTTTGAGATATCTATCTGGTGGGTAACAAGTGTGTACCCTTAAGTATTTCGACAAAATATCATGATTACCCTCATTTGCCCTTGAAGTGCCTATAAAATCCAATGCACCAGTTTTCCTATGGGGAAAAGAAGGCCATTTTGGATTTTCCCAATATGATCAAATATGGACATTAACTACCTAACAGATATGTATCATGGGATAATAATAATAATAATAATAATAATAATAATAATAATAAAAACAGAAAAACAACTGAATTTAGCTTCATCTTATATGAAAGCCTATAACTCGCAGGTATTAACTGAATCCCACCTTCTTTGGCTAATGGCAGCCATTTTGTTTGGTGTTGTTTTCAAAAAGGATACACATAACATTCTCATCTCAAATATATATTATTTGGATTAAAAAAGATGTGGAAAATGCTCAGAAACAAACCTAATTTATCAATTAATATTATATCTCCATGGCAGAAGAAGCCCCTTGAAATGGCGGCCATCTTGGATTCTTCTCGAAATGCCTGAGAATAAAGGTTAGTTACTCACCACAAATATCTTATTTTTGTAATAAGGCACTCAGAAACAAAATTAATTAGATAGAGGGCAATGCATCTTCCTAGTTGGCATTAGTTAAAAACCCTTGTACATGTTCTAGTATTCCTATGCAATACGGCGGCCATCTTGGATTTTTCAAAAAGTCCAAGGACACTTGTTTGTTATCTGACATATATGCATAATATGGGTAATAAGGATGTGGAAAACATTGAGAAAATACTTTATTTGATAAAAATCAACATAGGTATGTATACATTTCTACAGAATTTCACAAATTTGCGGCCATTTTGGATTTTTTGGCCAAACGGTAAATTTTTTCCGTGGGCTACGGCTCTAATTTGATTTAGTATGTCAAAAGGTACCCACATGCAAAATTTGGTGCTTTTATCCGCCGTGTCACGATTT